ATGAGATTGTTGGCAGTCAATGCAATGCTGAATAATAGCGATTATTTCCAAAGACATTGTACAGTATTGTGGTATTCGTTTGAGGAATAGTTGATACGAACTGCTACGAATACAAAATGGGGTGGAGAAGTTCAAATTCAGGCGCTTTCTATGGCTCTCTCTCATCCTATCTATTCATATACGAAGTTTGACAGCAATCCAAAGAATGGGCATTATATTCCATCGAATATTAGTTTACAAGAACTAATCGATCGACTTAGTAAAGGGACAGCAGGTCATCACCTAAAATATATAGGATACAAATCCGATACGAATAAACTAGGATTTTGTGTTTACTATAATGGTATTTATTATGATGCTCTTTTACCTTTTCGAAATAATCCTCAACAATTTGTACCATACTCTGACCTAATTAACATGAGTGTATAAAAGAACAGCGACTCAGTAAAAGCAAAGAAGTTTTCATTTATGTAAATGAATAAAGCCTTCGGAACTAACTCCTTGCCGCGTCCTACGGGACAAAAGGAGGGCATCCGCAGGGCCTAAGAGGCAGTTCCTTAGTGCGCTCAAGGATGAATTCTTTTAGACAGATTGATCAACATCAATCTATGGTGAACTTCACTTTTCGAGTACATAAAAATAACGTACACTCTATGGAGAACAAACGAATATCACACAGATTACACTATTAAGATATATAACTTTTTCATGGTTTTTCACAAGTGGGATACTGAAGACATATCGAACGCAGCATATTATCCCCTATTACTTTACATCATTTTATAGCTCTTGACGAGTTCTATCTACTCTTAAAAAAGTGTTATTGATAATATGAAAAACAAACAAATATCGCGCTGACATATTGTTAACATATATGAATTGTCTATAGTTTACCTACCCTGTCATATAGGGGCAACCTTCAGAGCAACCCATTTATTCCTATAATTTAGTACCATGTTATAGCCCATGAAATTCTCTATTGAATGGCATATAATACATGGGGTTTTATTCGTAAACAGCACTAAATTATTTTTTCAAAAAAAAAAAAATATAAAAGAATCATAGGGAAATATCAGTATTTTTACAATAACTCGGGAATGGCCTAGCCAATTAGGCTCATCTTCGAACTCGACTGAGATCTAGATAAGATTAAACTGTGCACAAAATTTCAGCTCAATCGGACTATTCTTTCAAACGTTATCGTGCATACGGCCGGACGGCCGGCCGGCCACACTGACCGATTCTAGAAGTGTACTCACTTTTTTGAGTACACAAAAAAGAGTTTTTTGACATGGGGGAGCATTACGGATAAACATTTTCAGTGCAAATGATAAAAACCCATCACTAATTTGTCTTCAGTGTACTACTGTAGATACTACCAATGAGTTTAGTGGTTCACTAAATCTTCGCATTAGTTTTTGGTGAATGGTTAACTAAAACTGCGCCTCCATAACCATACTCTTTGGATAAACCATTACGAAGTTCTTCATGATTTCAGTAAAACGTGGAACTGCTATAGGTAACATTACCTGTAACAGTTTTTGTTGTTGTGTCGTATAGAGTGCTGATGCTAGACGATAACCATTCCTAGATCCTGGATTCTTTCGCAATGCATATACATTAATAATTTGTTGCTCAAGGATAGTAGAATTAATTTTCACCACTTTCGATACATATTTAGGAACTGCCTTTCCGAATGCATTTGATTGCCAGATAGCTACATTACCAATAACTTTAGCCGCCGATCCAAAGCAAGAACCAGGAAGCGTAACTGATGGCTTATCACTGAGTAAGTGCACAAGAGTATTGAGTAAGTGTTCATTAACTAGCATATTGCGTGGATCAATTGTAATAATAAATTTACTTTCATCGATAAACGTTGGCGAATCATTTTGAGTTCTTTGTGAGAGCAAAAGCCAATCTCGCGATAGATTGGTGACTTCTTTTAACAGTTTCAATATCATATCATGATTACGTTTGAATTGTGTCAAATTTTGTATTCGTGCTTCAATACGTGATAATGGATGATGAACAGCACAATGAAGAGCAAATGGAATAACAGCACTTTCCTCTTCAAGTGATGAAGTAACCAAATAGAACTTGAAAGATCGCGTGGAAAAGTATGAAGGAATTCCGTCATAGAGATATCGTCGAGGCAAGTCAAGCGTTAGCTCTTTTAGTGCACGCCATTTTGATAAAAGAGTTTTGTAATTAACTAAGCAGTCTACAACAATAGTTTTTACCTTTCTGTGCAAAAATCACTAATGAATTAAAGTTTACTCACTTTTGATGACTTCAAACATTTGAGTTTCATTTCTTACATCTAGTTTGAATTCGTTTGGGACGGGAAAATCGTTGGGATCCATTCCATTTAATGTATTCGCTACTAAAACAATGGCATCGAACAAAGCTCCTTCGTTGTTGATGCGTTCAGCACCAACGACACCTAAATCGACGACAACTTTAGCTCGTCGAAACCATGACGGTACTTCATGAGGTGGAATATGTGCTAATACTTTGAATGTAACCCTCGGTTCAAGTGGAAGTTGCTCTAAGGCGGTTTGTAAGCTTGAAGGGAAGTTTGAATCGTTATCGATGAAAACAAGATTTTCTTTTGACTTTAAATTGATGTAAATGCTGGTTTGTTTGTCTGTGACATTGGATACTTCTAGATCTATCTTTTGATATTTATACATACGTTGTTCGAGTGGTGCAAAAAGAACCTGTTTCCCTGTAGCCAAATAAAGATCGCGAGTATAAGTAGTTGACGGTGCCCATATAATATCGGTATGATGTTGTTCAACAAGAGGCAAATGCAAACCAAGCATGTAGACAATAACACGAGCTCCTAATGAACGCCAAGAAGCAACTATTGGCTTGTAAGCAAGCTCTGGAATTATGACGATATCCTGAGATGTTAAATTAAAGTCTTTTGTAATTGATCGAGAACAATTTTTCCAAATTGATCTGGGGTTAGGAATATGCATGAGCGAGTTGAAACCTGCAGCAACGAGTGTACAATGAAGATAGTTCATGGCAGATGCACCTCCAAGCTCAAGTTGCTCTGGGAAATCAATAATAATGCGACCATGTGAAAAGAGCAGTGGATGGATAGCTAGTTTTGAATTATTTCCTAGTTGATTCAAAGCAGAGTAAACAAGCAGATTGTTGTCTGATGTCGATTTGTCGATTCCATTATTTCCAAACTGCAGATGCCATACTACAGAAATTGTCAGACAGGACGCAAAAACGAAAAGATAATAGCGACGGATATGTAAGCGTAATGATAACATGATGTATTTAGATTTTTTTATTTATATCTAAACAAATTATCGATACGAAAAATTTGGCTTATCACCATTTCATAAATGTAAAACCAGAAAGCTGAATGTAAGTATTCATCTATTGAGATATTATAGCTGAACACTTGGAATTTTCAAATATTTAGATACTCAGTTCGGATATTCAGATATTCAAGTCAAATATTCAGATACTCAGTTCGGATATTCCGATACTCGCGAAAGAAGGTTCCTAAGTGTGAGTCCCAGTTTTAACGAGGGTATATCCTAGTTTTTAGAGCTCGACGAGCTCAGTCTTACAGTATATTTCGTCTTTCCTCATAGGTCTCCAAAGAGCAATGTTAGCATAGTTTATATATGATGGATAGCATAATAAGTACAGGACTTTTAACGAAATATAATAAATATAGAACTTATTACGACGATGTTTTCTGAAAAAAAAGAATAATCAGCTAGCTGTACTGGAAACCACGAATAGATACGAGATAAACATGTTCAAGTCAAAACGGCAAAATAAAAAGGGTTTTTAGTACACATTTGTTTGATAGCATTATACTTCTAATATAATAATGCAAGCGTCGGATCGAATGAATAACGGAAATAATATTTTTCCACTTGTAACACAACAAAAAGGAATAGATTGTCATGTATCTTGGAAACTATATGTTAGTGACTGTGAACAGTTGAGATATATTCAAAATATCAAATTTGTGATACAACTATTAAATCCTCTATTATGTACTAAAATTTAGTAATAAAATTGATTGTTTACTCTCATCTAAAAATCCATGGGGAAAACCAAAATATACCACAAGACCCAGCCTGTCGAGCTGTACAAACTAGGATATTTCACATTAGAAACTGAGACTCACACTTGGTGATCTTTTCTCGTCAGTTCAGATATTCAGATATTCACATCATCAGATATTTCAAAATACAAATATCTAAATATTCATTTCAGGTATTCAAATATTCAGATATCTGAATATTCAAATACTTAGTTCATTTATTTAGATATTCAATTCAAATATTCGGATAATATATTGGAGAGGTTCAAATCTTGAGTGGGTGCTGAGGAGATTGTCGCAGTGTGCGCGCTTCGAAAGATGTAGAAGGGAAGTATCGTACTGGGTGCTTTGGAGGACGTGTAGGAGGAGTGTCGCGGCGTGGATGCTTGAGAAGGTGTGGAGCAGAATATTGTGGGGATAGTGCTCGAGAATGTGTGGTGGAGAATTATCACAATGTGGGTATTTGATGGGTGTGAAGGACACTATCTTACATAGAAAAAAAATAGTAGAGTAGAAAACACAAAAAAGGTATTTCAAAGTGCAACGAATAATAAACCCTCCAAAAGGGTTTATGGAATCGTTTATCAAATCTACTTCCCAATAAAAAACCTTTTTCTAAGCGTTTGAGATAAAGTATTGAAGTATCATAAACGCTAAAAGGGTATATTATTCTTTGCACTTTCAAAAACTATTTAACCGTTTTTGAATTTTATAAAATAATCGAAAACATGCTACGCGATCCGAGAGCAACGATATTTCATAATCAGTATTATGTTTTCATATACGAATAAAACCCTTTCATGAGACGTTCTCCACATATGTATACTCTGTAAAGGTTTTCAGAAGCGCTTATAAAAGAACTCTATACCCCTTAAGAGTATTCGAAGTCTCAATTAATGATGACCCATACCCGCTAGGGGTATTTCAGATACCACTTGACAATGACCCATACTCATTAAAGGTACTTGAGGTTAGTGACCTGCGGGAACAACTTTTTTTGCTTGTGATTCTCTATTTCCATTTCCCTTATTTCCCTAAGTTTTCAAAAGCTCTCTTCATCTGCAAGAAAAGAGTCATTACCATATATGTGTACCAGTTGCTGCTGACACCAGATTCTGCGCATCGCAACGTGTTATTAAATAAAATAACAGACGTTACGATTAGAGAAATATTTTATTGAACATTCTACTGATGTTTGCTTTTTTAATAATATACAAAATATTATTTGTACGTCGAAAGGACACCGCCGGATTTGATCATGAATCTGCCACCCTATTGCAGAAAAATTTCATCCATCCAGTAAGAAAAAGCATAAAATTCTGAGTCTGTTAGTGATTATTCCAGCCTTCTAAGTTTTATCCAAAAAATTCACTTTTCCACAGGTTTTCTCTAAAAATTCAATAAACATTGGCAAAATACATGGATTTTTATTGAATTTTTAGAGAAAACCTGTGGAAAAGTGAATTTTTTGGATAAAACTTAGAAGGCTGGAATAATCACTAACAGACTCAGAATTTTATGCTTTTTCTTACTGGATGGATGAAATTTTTCTGCATTAGGGTGGCAGATTCATGATCAAATCCGGCGCTGTCCTTTATCATTATTGAAAGAATGATTTCCGCATCTATTCAACAAATAAAAAACGAAAAAATAGTAGTGCATCAACTACAGCGATGAAAAAAACGAAAGTATCTGACAGAGGATGGTGATGGTAACGATTAATCACAAGAACATGATAGTAATGATGTGTTACGACACCATGATGACAATGATGCCTTACAAGATGATCTTTATAATATTAATTTGGACGACGATGGTGAAAAAGAAAATTTTATTCGTGATGATTAAATAAATATGTAGTGAAGAATAAAGCCATAGTCTATACTTACTGATACACATTTGTTAATTATATATGAATAAGAAAAAATATTAAAAATAAACAGTTATTAGATAGAAATATTTTTATGTATTGAAATAAAGCTAGTCACAGTTTAACGAACGTCAGGTTTTAGTTCCATTTCCATTCCCATGGGAATGGGAAAATTAGGGAAAAAAGTCGTTCCCGTAGAACACTAATTTCAGATGCCACTTGGCAATGACCCGTACCCATCAAGGGTATTTCTGGTACTACCTAACAATGATCCATACCCACCACGGGTATTTCAGATGCTACTTACTGATGATCTATACCCAGCAAGAGTACTGGAGGTACCACTTACTGATGAGCTATACCTATTAAGGGAATTTCCGATCCTACTAGCTTGTGATCTATATCCGCGAAGAGTATTTCAAGGAGCCTAGGAATAACTGCTACAAGTTGACTTGGGAGTTGATTGCCTTTGTGAAAAAATTTCATGTCTGACGATTAACGAAGCGAGTTGAACGCAATTTATATATGAGCAATAGTGATAATTAATTTTTTTTTTTTTTATTTATTTAGGCAAAATGAGACTGACGACCTTAAAGGTCCTTACAGTACATGATTGAGTGGAAGAGAGAGAAAGAAAGAAAATAGAAAAGAAGAAAGAAAAAAAAATAGTATAGTTTAGTGTATATAAATATGAGAAGAGTAGCATTAGACAGCAACAAAAGAGGTACAAAAAAAACAGATCAACACAAAGAGGAGAGAAACAAGAATATGTAATACATAGTTACATATTTATTACAACAACAGTAACAAGATCAAAAAAGGAAGAAGACAAGAGGAAGGAGAAAAGAAAAAAAAACTTCAGAACGATTCGGGGAAATCAGCCAAGGTCATGACAAATAGTGATAATTAATTAAATAGAAGCTAAAGCAGTTTTTTTCGATTTTGAACGTTTTGAAAATTGAAGACTTGCATTAAACTACCTACACTATCAGAAATAAATAGAGTTACAATATAGAGGAAAGAAACTGAAAGAAAATAATATCTGAACGAAATATTTTACAGTGCTAGCAGCAGTACTTAAATTGAAGATTGCTGATAGAGACTTTTGTGAAGCGTTCTATGTGTAAAGAGGCGAGGCTAGTTCTATCAAAATAGTATTTGTGGAAAGACGATTTACATATACAAAGATGAATGGAAAGGCATGAATATTTATGGCGAGTATTATTAGACAAAAAAATATAATTTAAATATCTTGTAACTGCATAAATCTCTACGAAAAATTTCTCTAATGGTTGATATTAACCGGCGCAACCTTAAGCAAAAGTAATTGCTTAGATTGCTTAGCTACGAAAGTGATAAGTAGACTGATTTAGAAAAAGAAACATGTTTACTCACCAACTTTGCTTTGCAGGTAAATGATAAATGAAGTCGCATTGATTGAATTAAGAATATTTGAACTTGACCAATAGTTTTGTCTATTGGTTTGAAATCATAGACATCTATTGATCTGTTTTTCTCCATTGAATAAAATGATCGTTATTCATGACAAAACAATTATATCGCAGATTAATTAGTTTAAAGTTTTAACTATACATTACCAATGTATTATTGTTCACTAATATATGTATAATACCTTGTTTTAAAGTAAGTCAAAAGACATGCATTGAATATCCCATATTGTTTCTTTAACAATTGCTAAAAGAATAATGAAACTATAAAGACATAAATGAAAATCAGAAAATAAATGTTGAACATACCTAAAGGCGGAGCACTATGATTATTTGAAAATGATAACATCATCTATACTGAGTTTTTTGTTTAGTGGAATAGATCTACACCTACACGATTGAAGTTGATTTGTAACAAAATCTGCGTATAATGTATTAAATTCGTGGTCTAAATTGCTGATGTGAAATCTGTTTGTAATGGAACGGTATTCTTTACTGTACATGTATATATATATATATATATATATAAATTACTGTTAAGAAAGTCGACTCTTTGTTGTGATGAAAAAGAAACTTGAGTATGTTAAGATAAATAAATGTACATTTTGTATTATATAAATTCTGCTCGATCGAAGACAGTGATCAATATGACAATTTAGTTAAGATCATCACGTAGTTGACTTTTGAAAATATCAACTGTATAAACAAATGTTTTTTAAATATTGATTAGAGTAACAAGTAACGCACGTCGGATCGACTCGCTTGACCCTCGGCTGTATGTTTGTACGTCTAAATACTGCTTTGTTTTATAAGCATACTTTTGTTAATATTAAAAGTGTACACGCATATGTGTTTAAATATGAATTGATTTGACTATTATACGATAGTTACGATTGAAGTATGGTGGTTTCATACATGAAATTATCATCTTTATCTACAAATTAGCAAAACAAATTGCTTTCAAAGTTAATGTTGCAAAATTTTTCTTTATATATCTTGATAGTGAAAACTATTATAGGTTTGCTTTTTTCTTATGAATAACACGAAACGAGATAGATTTTAACAGATTATGTTAAACTGAAAATTAGGCGTGGATGATCAGAAGTGCGTCAACTTAAAAACTCCTAGAGTAGCACGGGTATTAGTATTATGTCGAGACAACAATAGAGAAAACTGCGTTTTGTGTGTGTGTGTGTGTGGGTATGGGTATGAGTATGGGTATGGGTGTGGGTGTGGGCGTGGGTGGGGGTGGGGGTGAGTGGGTGTGAGTGTGCTTGTAGCTGTAGCCATTGAGGAAGATAATCCACAGGGTGTGGGTGTGGGTGTGGGTGGGTGTGGGTGGGTGTGGGTGTGGGTGTGGGTGTGGGTGGGCGTGGGTGGGTGGGCGTGGGTGGGTGTGGGTGGGTGTGGGTGTGGGTGTGGGTGTGGGTGTGGTTGCGGTTGTGTTATGTCTAATATACTTAGACCGACGCCCACACCCACACCCACACCCACCCCACACCCACACCCACACCTACCCCACACCCACCCCACACCCACACCCACACCCACACCCACACCCACACCCACACCCACACCCACACCCACACCCACCCACACCCACACCCACACACACCCACACCCATCCGCTTCAGGATAAGACAGGGTTTGTTCGATGAAAGTAATACGGTGCAAGATTTCATCAGGTAAAGGTGTTGGTAAATGTTCGGTAACTTTTGTATTTTGAGATTTCATAGCAAAAGAAGCTAAATCAAGTTGTTCTTCAACAGATTTTTGTTTTATTATTATCTTTTCAGCTGTTGTTGTTGCGTCGTACACCTTCTGGATGTAACGACTCTTTTTGGAAGCTTAAAAAATACATAAAGAATAAAATGTAAATTGTCAGCAACAAAACACACCGCTCGCTCCCACGAGAACCAAAAACAAACTTATTGGTTTGTAACTGTTTGTCTTTCGACTATAAGTTAATGAATAACCACCAAAATGTCCAAAACCAACTATTGAAGACAGAAAGAAGGCTAAGCTATTATAACCAAATGCACGACGATAATTTTCATAAACCGATAAAAGACTTGACGACGATGATAAAAATGTACTTAAAGATGTGTTTCTTATTGTATCACAACAAAGTTCAAGATTTCTCTCGAAATATTCAGCAGCAGTTTTACGTTTAAGCATGATGGTAAAATTCGAATTGATTTTTAACTAAAAAGACATATAGAAAAAAAATCAAGAATCTTCTTTTCATTTGTCTTAAAAAAACGTACCAGTAAATGAAAACGAATTCTCGAAACAATTTCAATACGTTGACTTTTGTTAAAATACTAATTAATATATCTTTAATTTCAATTATAATGGTGTCAACCGTTTTTTGACAAGATAACGAACATGTCAAGTTTTTAGCCAATGACATTTCAACTCAATAAATACATTAATACCTATACGAATACTGATAGCATGAGTCCGACATCATTGTAAAATAACAATGTTTCAAATCTACACAAACTACCTGTCTAAAAAACTAGTTTTCCGCCAGCAATAGAGGGCACTATCTGATGGAATGAAATCAAGACAGCATCATGGATTATCATATATGTACCTATTATTAAAAGCACGAAAAGCTTCACACGCATTCAGCATTCATCTCCTAACTGCTCAGTTTCTACCTTACAATATACGCTTCAGGTACCATCCCAGACTTCAGCGGCAACTTTCATTTACACGCTTGAATACAAACCCATCATACACCCTTAATCAATATTTTTCATTGTTTTTTATGCCAAATCCATCGAACGACTTCTCTCAGTCCATATTCCAACAAATGAATCTAACCTCATTATCTCAACAACCAAAGATAAACTCCGACATAAAAATCTCAACAACAAACAATAGTATTTAAAATCTTTCTAAAAGCCTCGCTAGGATAAATATATTCACAATTCTTATGCTTGCACCATATAACTGTATGTCAACACCTGTTTCAATCCATCCTTTTTCAAATTTTTGATTCCATATCGATATATATGCCGTTACAAATATTAACATATTAATGCAATTCTGAAATTCTAGGTTTTCTTGGGTTATATACTTGGGTACATGTATCAATACATGTATTCATGTGTCGATACATGAAATTCTGAAATTCTAGGTTTTCTGGGGGTATATATATGGGTACACGTATCAATACATGTGTGAATACGTGTGGGGATGTATCGATATATCGATACATGTTAGGAGATGTATGTCGTGATTGTAATAGGAAAAAATATCGATACAAATTGTATCTGTATTCACGCATCTATGATACAATAACTTACCATTCATATATCTCAAAAGCGAGTTTAAAGATGTTGGTAAATTACTAGGCTGTGGCAAACCTGAACCGATCAATTTCAACATATTAGTTGAATATGTTTTACATAATTTTGTTTGTCGAAAAGCACGAAGAAGATTCGTGCAAAACTCCTTTGTAGATATATTAGTATATGGATGAAGAGGTAAAGCAACTTGTTTATTATGTGATAAAATAAGTTCATTTATCAAATTAAAATTATCATTTAATGTATCATCATTTGAGTCATTCGCTTCTGTATTCTCAATAAACTCTGATGAAATAAGATCAAAATCAATATTATAATTGTCATAAGCTGTATCAATTGGTTTTGACGCACTTAGTGTTTCACTATTTGAAACATCACACTCAGTGGTATTTTTTCTTTCAGAAATAACATAAGATGATAAACCATTTACTAGATTGATAACTGTTTGTTTTCAAGCAATATTATTTCTTGTTAAACGTCGCTGTTCGTTGCGATCTTCAGCAATCTCCATAGCCAATGTGAGCTCTACGTTCATTTGATCTAAATCAATGAATATCATACAGTATATAAATGGCAGACTCTCATATTACCTTTTCTTAATATTTTCGAACTAAAACACGTTTAACGAGTACTAGACAAAAAATGATGAATCTTGTTCAAACTTTTATACAAAGATATATGAGACGCATACTTTTTTTATTTTTGAATATGATGTATGAACTGTTTCTTAGTTTTGTATGGAAGTATTATCTAATTTTATTTTAATTTTCTAATCCCGAATGTTATTGGTTGATTCCCATGTACCATCGAATGGTAGATAGCGCTTAAGAATAGCGGTTGGTACATTTGATCCAATTTTATTATACACTGTTTATATTTAATTAGCGATGGAACCGCCAGAACGAGAGATTTTTGAAATATATGCTATATATTCAGTAAATATTTATCTAATTCACGTGATTATATATTGAATATTTAGGAGTTTTTCTTGTTAAAAAGGTCTGATTGATGTTTTGTTTTAGTGCAACGTTTTTTTAACCGAGACAAAGGTTAAGCGCCCTGGTTTTAATATTTATCTGTAGTAGATTAACAAAAGAATGTTAAAGACAATAAAAAAAATATTTAAATCTTAAGCGACATCATGCATATAGTTAGAAGATAACTTTTGCGAAGAGTTTAAAAGGATATGAATAAGAAGAAATTGTGTAACTAGAATGTCTTTATCAATGATTTTATCGAATCTACCACGGAATGTGATGAATAAAATAGTAATAGAAGCGTAATCTCCAATCAGTTATTTTGGTTACTTCCATTATTAATTTCTTCTTATACCTGTATAAAAAATTTTGATGGAAACTCAGGTGAAAATTGGTTATTTATTTAAAAATTCAATATTTATCTACTCAATTATCGCAATTGATTGAAATACATAAGAAATAATTGAAACTAGATAGACGCTGTCGTTGAAGTAGAGAAATCAAAATGAAATCTATCGTTAAAACCGAGAAATCACATTAAACTCAAATGAAAAATGCTGATTTTAATCAAATAATCGATTTTAATCTCCTCTTTTTGGCCAAACTTTAATGGCTGTCGTATGTAATGGCTTCGACTTCTTGTTTCTATCTGGTTAAAGTTCAGTTCACGTTTATGCAATTCATCCGATAACATCATCTTCAAATACTGAGCTTTCTTCAACAACATCTTCAGCAAAATCATGACGAGTTGATGTGCATTGAACTAGCTAAGATCTGCTTTCACATCCTGTTTTACCAGTTTATTCAAGAGGTGACGCTAACAGAAAATTTCAGCTCTAATCTTATACAAACTCGCCTAGAGTGGAAGACTCAGTGGAACAAGTTTCGGCATTTTATTACTACATCCATCATTTTCCATGCTTAATACTAAATCGTGGAATGATCTTCATTTGGATAGAACATACTTTTAAACAAAATTTAAAATTATTAGCTTTTAGTTTTTTATTTATCCATAAAAACTTCAAAAATGTACATATGAAAGGAATTTCATAAAGCGAAGATTGGTGTCGATCTCAATAGCTTTCCTGAAAAGTTTGTACTCTTTTTAACAGATTTGAAAAAAGTACTCAAAAGCTCAACTCTCTGCTAACGAAGTTCTGATTTCGTCATTATTTTTAATGAAAGTAGTCTTCCTCGTGAACAACTATTTACGGCAGTCGTCGTATACGACATTTTACGCTATTTTACGCTTAGCGTAAACAATGATCATATACTTACGCCGACTACTACTACCGTAATAATACGGTGACTGTAAACAATACTCGGATACTACCGTAACATATCGTGAAACGTCGTATATAACTGTCGAAAACGGCCACTGTTTACAGCTGGAGTTTACGATATGTTACGATACTATTCGAGTATCGTTTACAGTCGCCGTACGATTACGGTAGTTGTAGACGGCGAACAGGTATGATGATCGTTTACGATAAGCGTAGAATACCGTAAAACGTCGTATACGACTGCCGTAAGCACTCACTGTAAACAGCTGTCGTTTTCCACCGTAAACTATTAGTGTACGTCATTGACCTAGGCTGTCAAATTCTCACGAAAAGTAGAATTTTGAACTTGTTCTTTCATATCAGCCGGTTTCATGTCATGATCAAGCCAAATAAGAAGATGTAGATGAAGAGAACCTCGTCCTTGACTTTCAACAGTACCGAAATAAGCCTTTATTGGCCCAAGAACACCGTCAACAATTATAGTCTCTAAGATATTGGTGATTAATAAATGAAAAAATTTGGCGGTAGCTACAGGATGGGATGCTATTATTTCAGCTCTTTTATAAGTATTGAGCAATTGTTCCATTTGAATGTTGTCCAAATCAAGCTTGACACCCGCAAAATATAGTGCGACGGGACTATGAATATCAGCTGGATTTAACGTCATAAAGATGTTAGGTAGACATTGATTATATATTAACGAATGAATGCGAGTTCGTAAGGCCGTGCGTGAATATGCGGAGCCCATAACTCGACCACCGATGGTTTTGATATGATTTAATAATTTGTTTAATGCACTGTTTGATTCTGAGTTATATGTTTTTTTGGAAATATTCTCGAGAGCGGTTTCGATGTCTTTACTGTTTAAAGTCTGGATATCCTGGGCTGATTCTCGAAAGTAAGGTTTCGTTGTGATCAATTGAGCATGAAAACAAGCATTACGTCGTTGCAATATATTGAAGACCACAAATATAAAGCTGTGATTCATTTCAAAACGTCGATCATTGTAGGATAATGGGTAGCGTATATGTTCTCGTAAATTCGCTTTAACAGGACGTGATTGATCGTCAGGTGCACCACGTCCATAACAGAACAGAGTAGGATACAAACCCACTAATAATTTTGGATTATAATACTCATTAACAGGTTTTGAAGAATGAGGTATCAAATGAACTCTTTCACTGTTCATTTGTTGGTGTGTTTTGTTATTTTTCATTTTTTGCAAAACATAATTTGCAATTTCATCTGAAGATACGAAAGAGCCATTGACGTCGAGAACACTACTAAAAATGACAAGATTTAAAATGTTACTTTTCTGAATTAAAAATTTATTCTTACCTGTACTGTATGGGAATAGTATCTGAGCTTGTGTAATCAGTTAAATAAGATAGTGGATCAGGAACATAGCCAACTCTTTCAGATTGAATTTCTTCATCACTTATCTTTTGCTCCATTGTTAACATAATAGATTCTGGTATGTCGTCTTCAAGTAGTTGAGCAAGATTCTCAAGATTTATCTCAATATTCTGATAGAGAATATTATATTTCTTCAACCATTGCAAAGCCTGAATAATTTTTTTCTTTCGCACTGTTAAAATTTTTCTAAGATGAATATGTTGAGGAGGAAGAGAGCCAACAAAAATGACTTTTATCGTATCACATAGATCATCAAGTTTAAGTGGTAGACTGTTGACAATGTCCGGTACATTTTGCAGAAAAGTAATACAGTTGCCTTTTAAAGCTGTTTGTGAAGTTGTAGCTGAATGGAAAGGTGATTGAAGTTTTATTATACAGCTATTGTGACGATAAAGTGATATAAGCTTTTCTTCTGGAATTGTTAAGCCTTGTAATACAGCAGGTATGTCACCAAACCACATACCATTGGCAACAGAAAATTTAGGAATGTGTTTTTTCGATAAAGCATCATGGCATTTTTGACAGAGTGTGCACATATTCTTTTGGTTCTGTTGAAATAAGCCACTAGTATATAAAATAATGTTGTTTTCACAATAAAAAGATGGTGACTTGGAAGGTGAAACAAGGAAAACTTATTGAAGAAATATTCAATCAAGAATGGATGTAAATTACTTTGAGTATGATCAGTCGTTTGTATACCATCAGTACTAAAAGCAGTTACGGTGCCTTCATTTATGTATTGTAAATTCGATAACTGGAAACGCATGATCAGAGCTTTAGTTTCGTCTGAAACTTTGAGTAATTTAGTGCTAGCAATTTTTGAGACAGGTACTGATTTCGACTTTTGCATCGGACTTCGAATGTTGCAAACTGCACAAGTAGTTTCTGCTAGTGCTGACATGGACATTCGATGGAGAAAGTTTTTGACACATTCTTCTTTCAAATCATGAGAAATTGGTTCAGGCCATGAAGAAGTCGTATTTCTAATTTTCGGTAAGACTTTTGAATTTGATGTAGAATGAGATATATTAATACCATCTTGTAATGTGACTTCTTCCGTTCCAGCAGATTGCATCTGAGTAGTTTGTTGTTGAATACTAATATTATCGGACATGCGTTTTTCATTTTTCTTTTTTTCTCTGTTTGCCTGACTTCGTTTTCTTTGCTGTTCGAGTCGATTAAGACGGTGTTCTTCTGTTTGATTCTTTCGAGTAGTTTGACTGCGGTGCCTCTCTCCCCTCAGTCGATTTTGGCGCTCTTCTTCGGTTGCGTTCAGTCGACTTGATCGAACTAGTTCTTTTTTCTTTTCAAGACGAATTTGACGTTGTTCTTCTTTGTCATTGTGATCGTACAACATTGTATCAGACACGATCGATTGAGAAGAATCAGTGTCTATGTTGATTTCACTTCGTAAACGTCTGCTAGGAGATGATTGAAACTCAAGAATTCGTATCTGGATAGCAGCATTGTTTTTAAATGTTCTCTTTTCAGGAGTCTAAATAAATCTTAAGATTTATGAGTTCTAATTCATAAATAAAAAACTTACCGCAAGAACTGACGCTAATTGATTATTATTATCACGCTCATGTTGAATCAATCGTGACATAAGTGGAACAAAATGATTGGGGCTCCATGTTGAATTATTTGTAATTCTTACCTCGTTTTCGTTCAAGGTATGTGACCACAATATTGTAATTTCGCAATTAGCAACAGTAGGTGGAAGAGGCATAAACGTGTTATTCACGATGGCCATATGATCTCGAAGATCAATTTTTGGATAAATACTTCGTATGTTACATTTAAGTATATTGCATAATGCAGTAATTTCATACAACTCCGAAAATGTGGACTTTCTGCATATAGCTTGAATTGCAACATCAAAAGGTCCGACGCAATGTGAGTACGTATTTGAATAATAAGTCTCATTCGTAATAAGTTCTATAACTGTTCGAACTAAAACAAATATCGAGAAGCAAGTTGTGTAATAAAACAACTGAAAAAGATTTATATACCTCGTAATTCACTCCATGTCACTGCTGGATTATTCATTAGAAGAACAATGGAATGATATAAACAATTTCCATCGGCAATGACTTCGGCTGGAACAAGATGATGTACATCACTAGTAGCCTGTTCAAGATATTGCTTGGCCACTACATCTAAAATATGTTTTTTCGGATCGAAAACGTGATTTGGTCGGAATTCATATGGTACCATAATTGATTCAACCTTCAAAACTTTGTTTGTAAATAAAGTAGTATTTTAAACAACTCACTTGTCGAATACTTTGTACAAGGGTAGCAATCTCGTCATAGGGCATTATACTTTGAGAACATTTGTCAAGACGCTGAAGCAATTGAGAAAATTTTTGACCACGACTCATTCGACTACATTGTGAACAACAGCTACTCCCGCATTGCATAAAGCAGAATACACACTGTGTGTTCATATTCAATCTGTTTTAATAATTGTATATTATTATCTAGAATATATATAATTGAAGAATATATAAAATCTGGTTTTGTAAAAAATTAAAAATAGATATAAATATTTAATGAAAAAACCTATATATGATCGAGATTCTTCTGCAGATAGCCAAAATAGAAGACAAAAAAGTTCTTAGATAATTATTCTATTTTATCTTATTTTTTATGACTGAAATATGTACTCGAGTTCGAGTTATTTGCTAGGAAAATGCAGATTTCATTATCCTAAAAAAAACTTTTCCGACGCCATCTATAACAATAAAAGTTTATCTCGTAATCGAAGTCATTTTGGATTCTGCGGTTAGTATCGGCGAATCAGATGAGTCAACTTCCTCAGAGTTGATCAGATTCGATTGAAGTCTGTCAGTTTGAACAGACTTTACAAAAATATTCGCTCGTTTGATACAATAACCACTGATGATTCAATCCTTCCAACCAACGATTAGTATGAATCTTATCAAGATAGAATTAAAGAAGTAACTAGAATTCTTGTTAAAGTTATAGGATTCGATCAAATATCAAATTCAGATTTATGTTAATATATTTAATAACTGAAAGTAAATTTTTATCTGCATTTATATCTAATAAGAAAAATAGTTTGTTGAATGATAGATCACAAGACAAAATATCGCTTATGAGTATTACAACAATCTTATTTAAAATTCAGTTCAATATAAAGGCATATCTTTATTGATTATAGCCATATGACATAGCATGTGTCAATAAAGGCTTAGTCATAATATTTGCTATATTATTATAAAAACGTTCTTATAATCTAAAAATATTATATTATATGATCAGATCTATTCTACTGACGATTTGGAAAAAATAATAATTGATTTAACATTTATTTTGAGTAGAGTAAAATACTAAATGAATAAAAAAATAATAAGTGCTTTACTTTTCTATCTTTTACCATTTTGAAAACTTAGTCTATTAGCATAATAAGGGAATAATATAGATTAAAAGCAAGTATACCTTCTATTTTTTTTCAATTCAATACTGTTACTTTATTTATTGATATATAACATATAGACTAAAAATAATACATCTGTTACTAGCATCAAATAATGGCCTACATATTATATTCAATTGAAGTATTTCATAATCAAAACATTTAGTAGTAGATTTTTTTTGTAAAAAACATTGGTATTCCAAAATATACATCGTCTCAGATGTATTAAAAAACTAGATGTCAAAGTCAATAAATAGTATGTGAATTAAAATGATGAACTATAGTTCTTTTTCTATTGAATATTCTATTGATAATATAATAAAATGTTGCCTTAAATATAAACTCAATAGCAGATAGTCACAGCAGAAAAACTATTTAATAATGCTAACGTTCTATTGAAGAAAATCAAAACTTAAAGAGATGAGAACGTTCAACAGCAAGTACAGAAATCGTATGATCTTTGTCAGCTTAAATAAAATGTTTTTATTTATTTATTACTTAATACAGAATCATTTTACAATGTATTAATTTCTTATTTGGCAATTCTTAGTACAATAAAATCTATGACG